ATTCCCTCCAATCCTGAAGATCTCTGTGTGATTCTGACGCCAAAGGTTGAAGCTCACGGCTTGGAAGCACCAGCACTCGAGACAGTTCAAAAATTCACTAATCACTCACCACACAACCAAGAATGTTTTATCAACTCAAAATCCACAAAGATCAATAAAATAATATCAAAGATCAAATAATATTTTAAATCATTCAAAATAAGATGAATGAGAAAAGTAATCCTTCGAATCTAATTTGCACTCTCACTTCAGTCCGTATCTAAACACACACTAAACAATTCCGAGAAACGGACAAAGGAATTTTTGTAAACACAATGACGCCGGGCGGCCGTTCGGCAATACCGAAGTTCAGTGTAACAAACGAAAAATCTCAATCACTCAAAATGCTCTGATAAACTGTTTAAAAGATTATTTCACATCCCAAAATCACTTGCACTGAGTCCTGCACTTTATATTTTCAATGTTCACAGGCGGCGCCGGTTTTCTGCCCTGACTAGAACCCCGATATTAACGGATTTTCACTACACGACACACGACCGACCATCCCACGCACTGCCGCCGAACGACTGACTCCCCACTCAAAATGGCGGGGCATTGGAGATGGCGCTCGAGTGGGGGGTCGCCAGGCGATACTCCGCGCATACGCACGCACACCGTGCATGCGCACAGAAAACCGCGGGCAGTCTCAATTTGACGAGATAAGATAATTGCGAAAATTCTGAACCTAATAAATAATTCTCTCTTAAAAAAAACAGTGCAATCACGTAAAATACAATAGTCAGTGAAAAATAGGAGGAGGTATTCACTGAAATTAAAAAATTCGACATTTTCAAAAAAATTTCAGGGGAGCATGAAAATCGAGAGATGTCGTAGGTAGTGCTGTATAACGCTTTCTCCTCATGTGCGTTTCGTCCCCACAATTCAGCGATTTCTGGCGTTTGCATTTGAATGCCAGTCGAGTCGTTTGATGTTTTTTCTTTCAAATTGACATGAAAAAAAAAAGGTATGGCATAAAAATTGTCTACAAAAGCATAAATGAACAATGGGTATATGATTATTTCAATAAGA